CCATCCTGAATTTTATGAACAACCAGTTGAAATAGAGCCAGTGGACGACGACCATCTACTCGGTTTTCTGATTGATCCTCTCAACAGAACCGTCACCTTCCAACTCCCCACCCATCCCTGGCAGATTCGTGATCCGCAGTCAGCAGGAAGCCACAGGCTACGCCTTTCAGGCTTACAATCACGCCACCACACTCTACAAAAATACACATTTCCATCACATCTAGCACCCACAACAGCACAACAGTTGATGCAGCTCTATATGACAAAAGGTCATTCAAAAGAACACTGCGCCGCGGCGCTGCGGCCAAGAAGAGAGGAAAAGGACTATGCGCCGGTCTTTTGCAGTCTGTCGTTTTGTACATTTCACACTATTGAACTTATTCGCTGTCCTGCCCTTCCAATATTTACTATCCAGATGCCGCCTGATCCGATCTAGTTGCGCCGATACGGCTCAGTGTGTGTGTCCACTCCTGTTTCCAAGGACACTACTCTAGTACTTTTCTAATCTACCCTACGAGCTTTTCTGTACAGAAGCAGGGGGACAACCCCATGGATGCAGTTGGTTGTCCAACGAAGAGGGCTGCATTCCATGGCTGATATGATCCTGGGACGCTAGGATCACGTACCTGCAATTTTAATACTAAGTTTGATCTTCAATCGCTGATGTTTCTAAGTCAGTGCAACGCCGTCTCATACGTTGTTTCCTGCAGTATCTAGATTTAAAGGGCTAATGCACACCGCGAAGCTACCTGAAATCACGCTCCACGGAGCAACCTTCTCAAGTGTGTGTGTCTCTGTGTGTATGGTCTCTGTGTGTGTGTGATCTCTGTCTGTGTGATCTCGGTGTGTGTTGTCTCGGTGTTGTCTCTGTGTGTGTGGTCTCTGTCTGTGTTGTCTCTGTGTGTGTTGTCTCGGTGTGGTCTCTGTCTGTGTTGTCTCTGATTGCAATTTACACTAAGATGTATGTGGTCTCTGTGTGTGTGGTCTCTGTGTGTGTGGTCTCTGTCTGTGTGATCTCTGTCTGTGTTGTCTCGGTGTGTGTTGTCTCTCTATGTATTGTCTCGGTGTGTATGGTCTCTGTGTGTGTGGTCTCTGTGTGTGTGATCTCGGTGTGTGTGTGTGTGTGTGGTCTCTGTGTGTGTGTGATCTCTGTGTGTGTGTCTCTGTCTGTGTGATCTCTGTCTGTGTTGTCTCGGTGTCTGTTGCCTCGGTGTGTGTGGCGGAGGCGGAGGCGGGAAGCGGACGGGAAGCGGGATGAGACATAGAAAAGAAGAACCCCACACTAAGATGTGGGGAAAAATGAAGGGTGGGGCTTGGATCTCCTGCACAAGCCACACGGGCACTCGGCTGCGTGGTTGTTCCAGCATGGAAATGAACGTTCACAATTGAAAGAACTTTCGCAAATCCCAAAGGTTTAGCTTTGGCAAATTTTCTCCCATGAACTTTCTCCCAAATGCTACTCCTTGGGTCAAAGGCTGACAGACTCTGCTCATGGATCTCATGGACCTCTAGACTTTAAATCAATTGATCTCCGGCCGTGAGATTTCTTGCTTTCCTATGTCCCACAGAATGATGGATCTAGGAAGTGGTCTTAATGGTCTTCACTTGCAAAGTGGTCTTAGTATGTTGGCTTGATGGAAAGCAGGGGAAAACGGAAAACGGTGCAAACGCTGCAGTCGTTCCAAGATTTTGCCAAAAGGCGCGCTGCCTGAACTTCCCCGGCTGCTTAAGCTGATGCCACTTGCACCACGCAACAGAAAGCCTGCACGAGGCTCAACCATCGCAACAAGGGGGCCAACGTCACTGACAGACCCAAAAAAATGCCCAAAGAGATCCTCGTAAAGTGCCCAAAGAGATCACTAGGCACCGGGCTATCTTTTCCAGTTTTGCCATCAGGCTGCCTGTCAGTTGTGCACACTTCACGGTTCGACACGTCACAATATTCACCAGCCTGGTGCCATCGGGGATCTCAATCTCAACCTCACTTGAAGAAGAGTCATCACCTTCCTCATCTGTCGCAATTGACGACCTTCTCGAACTTCTCCACCTCCTCTGCGTTTCCTTCCTGAGCATTGTCGCAAGGGCCCTTCTTTAAAACTCCCAGTGTCGACATACTACGACCTCCCACAGAGTCGAACCCAAGTGGCGGAGCATCCGCCTCTTGCAACTGGCCAAAGTTGTACGCCCCGCTCTTCCGGAAAATCTGACACGCAACGCGGTTTCCAGATCTAGGCTAATTAACTCCGGTGATAAACCGTTTCTTCATGATTCCAAGACCTATGTTGAACAATATGGTCATCTTTGAAGTCACTCATGGTGTGCAAGAGCAACTGCGATACTCAATGGGCATCACTTATGGATTTATGGCTCCCAGCCGCTCCTCAGGTGTCATGAAGACTCAAAGGACGGTCTCTGCCATGGCAGGAAACCATGTGGTCATGGGTGTGGCCTCACGCCCTGTAGCCAGCATTTCACGTTGCACATCTCGGGGCAAACATGGAATGCGAAGAGTTTGCCCAAACAAGTGTTTTTGAAAGTGCTTGATTGCGTCGGGTTGGAGACAAGAAAGTCTTGACTTCGTCCCATTGCTGTGTAAGTGTAACGAGCCGAAAGTAAGCTCACGAATTTGGGCTTTGCAGGCTTTGTCGAATTAGGTGTGAATTGAGAAACCCTAATGAACCCACTGGTCGGCCCATGGGTCCATGTTCAAAAAACACACCAAAAAGATCCAAAAAGCATCTGCAGCCCCTCCACCATGCGCGTGGGGCACTGCGACCAGGTTGCCGCTTTTTGACCTGGCATTGATGCTCATCACGGGCAGACTGATCCAAACATCACAGGGAAAATCTCAAAATGGAAACTTGTGCTGCGCACTGGTATGCGAGTGGACCAGGCTGGACCCCCAGAGCTGCATCAACATCAGCATCTTCAGAGTCCTGCGTCATTGCCAATCATTGCATCTGTGAGGTGTCTAAATGTGTTACAAGCATGTAAGTCAACCCAGGTAGCAAATGATGAAGGGCCTCAGCGGCCATATCCTTCTGCGAACCTTGCACTGGGAGCCCCTCCCCTCTAGTGAGCTGCAGCACACTTCCCGATGCTTCACAATCGACTGGGCGCCCAGCTCTGTAAGAGTGCTACTAAGCGTTGGTGATCCGCCGTGCTGACGGCTGATGCCTTGTACATGTACGACAATGAGGGGAAAGCCCGCCTGTAGTGAGGATGTGAATGGTGTATTGTGCCTCCACCACTGCAGACAAAGCTTCCGCCTTAGGATCCAAGGCCCGGCTGTCCTGCGTGTTGTGGGGCCTTCGCTTGTTGTGTCCTTCTTGGCTCTGAGGGCAGGAGCTAAAGTGGAACCACCATCTTGCATTTGTATGAGAGCTTGGCTCTTGTATACTTTTCCTCAGAAAGCACGCGACGATAAAGTGCCAAATCTGCTGAGAAGGTAGCATAACTGAGGCACAAGCGTTGCTCATGGCCGACTATGGCCAAAGCACGGTCTAGGGCATCCACAGTGGAGACCAAGCCCTCGACGTCCACCCATCAAGGAAAGTCACTCTCAGAGTTGGCGTGTCCCAGTGCCGCAGTCCTTCTCCTCCTTCATGAAGAGCTGAGCCTCTTTATCTCTGATGCCTTGGGCCTCCTTGCACAAGCAAGCCCCAATCGCCTACGGCTTCTTTTTTTAACTAGCCACTAGTATTGCGATGTCTTACGGTCAACATGTGCAGGAGCGAAAGGAGTTGGGCCTGGAGGTCAGCTTCACCTGATGCAATCGAAGCCGCCAACTCCTGCCCAGCAGCTCTAAGCAAAGTAGAAGCACCTCTTTCCCTGCTTCATCAATTCCAACCTCGATCTTGGTGTTCATGGTTTCAATCCTGAGGCAAAGCCCAAAAAGCAAACTCCCTATCATCGTAATATATAAGCCTTGAGGATTCCCGACTGTTCTGAGGCGTGGGCTCGATCTCGGCCTGTGCCAAGTCGGCCTCTGACTTTTCAACTTCAGCCTGTCACGCCACTCGTCCAACTCCTTCAATATTCTACACTGTTACAGAACAGCATCGATCATGGCTTGCGGCTTGCCTTCACGTCATTATGGCTGTGGCGCAGTTCTCTGGACCTCCAAGAACGGTGTCAGCTGGAAAGTTGAGCATTCTCATGTCTTGGAGAATCTGCGTGGACACCAAACATAGCGGATTCAGCTTAATGCCGTCCACTTGTTGCCTCCCACTGCAGAGTTTCTTCTCTCCCTCGAACACCTTGGTAGGCGCTCAGGTTGACAATAATGATGATGCAAAAACTCCAACTGGGTAACTGGAGGCTGACTGCACGCTGCTTTTTCTGCTCCTTGCTTGGCGCACGCTGCAGCAAAGGGTACACCTCAAATCCTCAAAAGAGAACTCAGCACCAATGCTTGTGGCTCTGGTCATGCTCATCCTGGCATCCAAGCTGGCTGAGTTGGCTGGTCAGTCCGCCTTGTCGATGGGTCTCACTTCTGGCTGCTGGCAAGACCTGGTCGTTGGTATCCAGTGGATCTCTTCATCCAATATCAGCTGGTCATCTCGCAAGGTAATGTCCCAGTTCTACTGCTGCGGCGTCATAGATAGAAAAGTCCCGGAGCTGAGGCGTTGCTTCCTTGCACAAGCAGGCGGCTACTGAGCATGAAACGAAATCCCTTCCGGTCCAACTGATGCCAAAAACACTTTAAAGTCACAAAAGCTTGCGTTATATACTCGGGACATTGATCCTCGACTCGGAAAACCACAGCACGGCCAAGCAGAGAGACGTAGTGATTGGCCCGCCACTTCAATGGGTCCAGAACGCGCTTCTGCATCAAGGGGCCAGCAAACTCAGGAGTCGAAGAACATGTCTCAAGAGGTGCTAGCATGTTCGAGTATAGCGGTGCCTCTTGCCGTATCACAACATCACCAAGAACTGCAGTATCAACAAGCCGTGGATTTGCAATGACGATCTGCTCCTCGGTGCTCAAGAGTTGTTCAGGACGAACAGAAGGATCAATATGATAGGGGAAGCGGGTGAACCTTGGCCAGGCGATTGATACCTGTGTTACATGTGTCAACTCCTTCCATACATGTTTAAGTTTGAGCGTGTCTGTTCAGACTTAGGGCAACACACATTTGCTTCCGCGGCCTGCCATCAGTCTCTCAGCCGGGATTGAATGAAGCTTCCAACAACACAATATGCGAGGCCGACTCTCAACCGCACAAGCATCTATTATATAGGTTGGAGGCCATCGCTAGTAGGTTGGCGATCGAAACGATGTGTTCAACTGCCTTGGGCGCATCTTGTTTGATGCCATACCGCACGCCCAGCACATAGGTCAACTCGCGTGGGTCGAGCTCCTTGCATGCTCTCGAGCTCAGCAGGAAATTTGCAAAGTTTAGAGAATGCATACGAATACGAACCTAATTGTAAGCAGTGTCCTGAAGAAGATCTGCGAGCGTCCCCATGGAAGGAGAGAACAGGAACATGTCCCAACCGTGGCTCACTGAAATGACCTAGGTGTCGCAACCAAGCGCCAAGTGGCAGCAATGGCAACTTCTAAAGTAGCGTCCTTGCTCCTAGTAGCGATGCCCTTTGCTCCTAGTAGCTTCTTGTTCCTAGTAGTACGGCCAGGAGCCCCTAGTAGCGTCCTTCCTCCTAGTAGCGATGACCTGCACCACCGAGAGCATTCTCAGGCCAAGGCCCAATCAGCATTTTGTCTCGCACGTTGCCAGCAGTGCTGCTGTACCAGAGTCTGTGCCAGGTGCGTCGTGGAGGTCTTGTAGCCCGCCTTCTGGTACAAATCCCTCAATGGCGGTATGCTTGGAATCGACCCCTCGTAAAACAGCTTCCCCCTCTCCTGTAGTTCTTTAACAATGCTCAATTCCCTGAAAGAGCCATCCAGATCGTAAAGGTAGATCTTATCGACACCGAGGTAGTCGCTGTAGTACCGGAACCAAAACTCAGCATGTTTGGGCACTCGCTGCTCCAAACCTTCAAAGTCCCAAACCTGCTGCGTGCATAGTGCGATGTGCGGCCGGGGTTCCGCTTGCCGAAGTGATTGCCGCAAGGGCACTACCAACTCCAAATTGGGCATTTGCAACGGAGCGCGTGCAGACCTTCTCAACACAACTTCATGTGGGAAATCAGGTGCACTCCCCCCACTCACAAGGTCATCCGCCCATCGTTCAGGCGCTTCGCACCGCACAAATAGGACGGGTGGATCCTTGGTCCCTGGCATCTCTGCAAGCATCGAGGCACTGAAAACGTCACCACGGCTCCTCTGACCCTCAAAGACGCACTCAAACTCCCACAGGGCTCCTCCACTTGGGCTCGGCAACACTTGACACCGACTGTAACCTCACAACAAGTGGGGGTGTCTGGAACTTTAGGAGGGCCTGGTCCTCATGCTAGCCTTGCAATAAACAGTTTCCAGGCTTAAAAGCGGGTTGGGTCTTGCACTTTGAATATCCAGAATTTGCATGCATGGCTCCACAAGCACAAAAGCACAAAGCTTCGGTGCTGATATATAATTGCTGCCAAACAACAGCGCCCAGAAGCTGTACTATGATACAGTACGTGTTTGGTTAAAAGATGTTAAAAGAAGCTAGGGACAGCTTTTCAACTGAATGCACATACTTAACAAAATCTAGCTATGACCGCGTGCAACTTTTTTCCTTGAAGAGACAAGAGTGCTGATGCACAGCTGATGGTATTTCTGATCATTTGCGATTATATATATGCAGGACATTCTCTTTGACCTGAAGCAGCCACGAGGTGAGGAGGATTCGCTTGGTCTCGACGATGTCAAATGACGATTTGTTCTTCTCTGGCTCTGGGTTGAGGTTGCTTGGATCCTATTTTTGCACCTTTTGGGGGTCCGGTTTGTACCAGAGTTTGTGGAAGCATCCCGACCTCATTCCCTTGCCGGCACACTGACTCATCTCCTTCGGTGGGCATTCTAAAGTCTGTGCTGTCCATGGCTTTGATGTGGTCCGTCATTTCCCAAATATGGCGGTGGAAGAGGAGCATGCCGTCCGCATCGACGCTCCAAGCAACCAAAGAGATTTCCAAAGCACAATGGGTGGTATCCGCATCTAGTGCTGTCACCTCACTGTTTTGCCAACTTTCACAGTTGCTTGAGCACTGTACCACTTCAAACAGTTTTGTTGGTTGCTCTGTTTGGTCTTCTGATTAATTTTTTTATGACATGTTCCATCTTCCCTGCTCCCTCCCAGCTTCGGCACGTTGTATTCGCCACCAGAGGTCACTGTGCTTGGAAACATGGGCGATCGGCTGCGGTCGAGCTCCATTTTCAGCTGGAAACACCGAGGAGCCGAGAGACGCTCGGCCGCTCGGAAGATCCTGACCTTGCTGCCGGAGGAGGAACACTAAAAATCGGAAGCAAGCAAACAGGATTACACAAGGGAAAAATATCCACCTCATCCCGTCCCCCAGAAAAGTGCCGAAATTGGTTTGCAACAGCACGTGTCACACACCAGCATTCGACTTAGGTCCACACATATGATCCCGGATTCCTCGGGTCGCTCAGCAGCTCAATTACATTGTGAGCCGCTGCGAAACACAATCCAAGATTCTCTACCACATCGTCAAAATGATCGATCATCAAATGGGCGCAGTCTGCCAGCGTCACGCACGGAGATGGGCGACCTGCCACACACCACAGAAACTCACCATGGGGGAGCCTCCCCAGACCAGCCTGCAAGCAAAGCCATCTCGTGCGCATCAGAGTTTTGACCTCACAAGGCTGTTAGAAGGTAATCTAATTCGACACAGCATCTTGGAACTCCATTTTGGAAGAGCTGCACTCAGTGCTGCAAGCAGCTGGAAATGCTAAACAGGTTGCCTGCGACGCCAATCGACAATCCGAAGTGTCAGTCCATGAGAAGGCAAAGCTTCGGCAAGTTTGCAACTTTCCCTCAGCAGTCATTGACCACAAGTCTGGCCTCCACCAATACCTCAGATCCGCTATCAAGCAAAATCCAGCAACAATGGCCCTCGTGATCACACAAGCAGCCCCGGAGACTCGTGCAGCGCTCTCTGTGCCCACATGCATCGACGTTTGTTTTGAAGGCTTGCAAACCTGCTGGCCATGCTCAGGGGCCTCTTTCCCAGAATTGAACTCAGACCACGGCGGTCTTATATAGGGACGCGCCGCCTTCGCTTCGTCCTTCGTTTGGTCGAACCCTTTGTTTACGCTCCAGCTCTACTTGCTGATCATCGTCTTTGTGCAGACTTTGCTGGCTAGGGTCTAGGCGAGTTTTCACCCCGAGCGTGACCAAAGAGGATGGCAACGTCTCGATCCCGCCACGAACGTGACGTAAATATTTTATCGCAGTTTTTGGTGCTTTTTTCGAGCTACCCCAGTCTCCAGCACACTTCTTGGCGAGGTGGAATGATATGTCGGATGAGGGCGGGAACAATCCATCGGCCAAGTGCAACTGCACTTCATACTTCAGCGTCGCAAGCCAAACCGGCGTGTGACACAATGCTCAAGTTTGCAAAGTTCTTGGATAGGCATGGTTTGCACGATAGGACCTTGGTTTGCCTCCTGAGGAGCCGGACTATGACACTGAGTATGACTCCGGCTGGCCGCTTAGGCTGAGTGACCGCAGCAAGATGAGAACGCTTCGGGCACCAAAAGTGGATGAGACTTCGATGCGAATGCACCTACCGCCGCTACTTCCTTGCCGAGATCTACGGCTCGATCGCAGTAGAATAAATTACTGTCATCGAGTTCCACAGACCACTAGCTCCTCGCCAAGCCGACAGCGCGCAGCGGTTGAACCGAACCTCACGGAGATGAGCCTTGCGGACTCCTTTGTCCTCAATGCTCTAATGATCTTATGAGAAGGAGGTTCAGGCTCTAAGCTGCAGGCCTCAGTGCCGATGAGCGCCGACACATTCTGTCGGCCGCCCACGCATGGGTCCCTTGATTTTGAGCAAGTGAATGGAGGCTTGCAAACTTTGTGCGATGAACCTGCTCGTCTGGTGCACATGGAAACTTGAAGCACTGTGCGGTGGGCGGCTATGATGCTGAGGTGCAGACCTTAGGCCGAACACCAGGCTGCTGTGGGCTGAAGTTCATGGAGCTGCCAGTCCATCGTCCACGGCATGCCTGGCTTCCTGGTCCTAGTGGACGCCGCGCAGGCCATCGTGAGTACGATGCGGAGGTGAATGAATCACCGCTTGGCTTGGCCACCCTTCGTTTGGATTTGCGCTGCACGACGGTAGTTTCAGACTATGATTTGGGCGGCCTTGACCAAGAAGAGTGCTGCAAGCCGAGTTGGTTTACAGCGCTCTCTCCAATCATGGCTCTGGGCAAGCAACTTCGATCCAGCGTTCAGTGCCGCCAAGAAAAATAGAAGGCCCAAGGACAGATGCCCATGAGAGTCAGTCAAAGACCACAGCTTTTTGTTTCCAGCTGCAAGGCATGCATCGACCTTTGTTTTGGAGGGGGCCTCGTTCAAGATTGAACTCAGACCATGTGCCGCTTTCGCTTCGTGCTTCATTTGGTCAAGCCCTGTTTACGCTCAACCGTGCTCCCGCTACAAAAGGTTCATATTTGAAAATAAAAATCCAAAGAAAAAAACACAACTTAAAGTAGGACAAACATTTGGTGCTTGGATACCGTGAAAACCATGTGCGCAACACCGGCATCATGGAGTTCTTCCCAAGAATGGCCATCCAGCATCAGAATCCCCCACATGGCTTTGAAGACCTCAGGCTGGAGCAGTACAAAAAGATCAAAAAAGCAAAGAGTTCTACAATTATACATCATCCAGGTCTAGGTTTGTGGCAGCGCCTACAGTGCCTACAGCAGTTCCAAACCGAGATGGCTCAGGCCAATACTCGAACATAGTGAGACAGCACGGCATCTTGATCGAGGTCACGCTTCACGGACCAAATGAGCTCCCACAACCTCACTCCACCCACTGCCGGCGAGGATCATTGAAGCAACACAACCTTATGGGAAAAAATGGAAAACATGTTGTCGGGCGTAGGGCTCGATGACAGCGTGGATAACGAACCGGAGAGGCCAGCCAACTGCACCTTTAGGAGTGAGCACTTGCTGAAAACGAAAAAGGCAAGCATAGCGCAAGCGCTGTCAACCACGTCCAACGAGCAACCAAAGCAGCCAAGAGGCCAAAAAGACAGGCCAAGCCAGTGCCCATCTGCTTAGTAAGCATCATCATCTCTTCCTTGCTGCTTGTGTCAAGCTATGCCCAAGGAAAGTAATTTCCTTTGAGCCGCTTCTCGCAGTTTTAGTTTTCCGTGTTCTTGCAATTGCTCCAGGTGTGATCTAGAGCATCTAGAGGTGCTTTAACAAGTGCCACAAGAGTCATCCTGCTCACATTCATCCACATGCCTCTTCATGTAATAGCTGTACCTTGAATCAGGGGAGCAAACACTGTGTGCTTAGACACTCTCCGCCTGAGAAGTTGCTTGAAACAATCGGCACCGCAACTGTTCCAAGCCACTGAGATGAGATACTGAGCTCACTCCCCTCGTTGAGGCGCAAGATCTCCACAGGCCGACGCATCACCAAATCCAGCACCCTTAGCAAGCTGCATTTGTGCTGAATTGGTTGTTCAACCATTGATTGATATGGGCGCCGCACAACAAATGTATAAGGAGTTGGGATGGAAAGCCAACAGTTTCACCATACATTCTTAAGGGGAGTAGATGTCCTCTGTCTCTCACTCTCCATGGCGCTGACAGTCGAGCCGTCTGCCAGTGTGGGTGTAAAGGGTTCGGAAAAAGGAACTTGTGTTAAGGCCTGTGTCACGCCCAATTCGGACATGTCTGATGGTCTGATATCTGATATTGGAAAACGGGCTGTAGGCTCTGCGAACGCATGACATGGGCAAAGCCTAGCCCTTCATTGCACATTGTTTGGAAGCAGTCACCTGCTGTGGATGTGCTGCTTTCATTCGAGGGTCTCCGCAGAATTCGGCAACACCGGCATCCGGGACTAAGAAATCGCAGGCCAGTCTCCGTCCATGTGGCCAAGAGGATGAACGGACAAAGAAGCAGTCTTCTGTGCGGGGATTCTCTGCGACCAGTCTGCACCCCATGACCACCTTGTGAGTGCCTCGAGATAAAGAAAGCAAGGGTCTGACAAAAAGAGCCTTCACAAAGTGAGTTGAATGGGTTTTTGTTTCAATCTTTGCACGAACAAGGTGAAAGGAGAAGGCCGGCGCCTCCATCTTGGATTTCTTCTCTTCTCCAATCAAGTTGGTAGCCAAGCTCAAGCATGCCTCGGCATGTGTCACACCTCCACGCGTGGAATGAATGCATCAGTCACCTCTGTGGCCAAGGTGCGCGTGAGGGTCTGATGCCGTGAAGGCTGTCCATGATATAATGGCACCTTTAGTCAAAAAAGGTGCAATGCATGCATGCATGTATGCATGCATGCATGCATGTATGTGTGTATGTATTGCATGATATATAATCGCATATGAAGAAAAGTGACATAAAGTGGCAAACTGCGTTTGTTGGAAAGAATGGCCCGTCGTCTCCCGGCAAGCGTCTGAGACTTCCAATTGCACTTCTTCAATTCGCTCCAAGAATGCCTCAGATGGGTCAACCGTTCACTCGATGTCACTCGCTGCCTGACAACATTTCCGAATTCAATGCTCCAGGTGAGATACTGATGCCAAAGGCGATGAGGAATATGCCAAGGCTGAGAGAATTTCAACATCAGCACCCTGCGCATCCAGTTTCAGCTTGATCGGTGGTCCTGAATTACCAACACTGGCAGGCACATCTTCTTGAGCATGGGATGCAGGTTTTGATCAACAATCATCTAATCCAAAAGAAGCGAACCGAACCACTCCAGCAATCAGTCATCTATTTCCCACAAAGCTGCACTCCGGCACTCATAATCTTTCTGGCCTTGCTGTAGTGCCTCCGAGAAGTCCGGCTTTGCCTCTGAAGGTTTGGTGCCCAACATCAGGCCGTGCAAGAGCAAATCGAGGGACGTGACCTCGAAGGCCGCCCCGGTGCAGCTCCAAGGGCCGCCCAACTCTGCGGCTGAGAGGCTGGAACAATGATCACAGGCCCTTTGGCAGTGCAAGCGTGATCGAAGCTTTCATTTGGTGCTAGCAGACTATTACCTGAGATGAAGCAGATTCAAACAGAAACGGTTCGGCCTATTATGACGGCATTTTGGAAACGTGTAGGTCTAGGAGTCTAGGAGTTGTGAAGATGTGATGCACTCGCCACCGAGGAAGTCATTGGTGTGCAGAGATCGAAAGCCCCAAGTCAATCCTGAAGCAGCTTAAAATGAGAGGTGCGGATGCAGTGGATGCATCTAACCACACTAAATGCCAGCCTGGCTTCCAGGATAAAGCCACAGGCAGCGCAACCACACGGGACAAAACATCTGCATAGTCGACCTCGCCCAAAAAAGCTAAGGAGAAAGTCCGTACAGGTATAGCATAGACTCGAAGACTATAGAAAAAAATCAAAAAGCAGTTCTCAGGCCTTGAGGCGTCTGTAAAGCTCAAGAAAAGCCTTGAGGCGACAAGCTTCTTTGATCCGAGTACGTCCAAGTTTCTCCAAAGAATCGTTTCCAGGCCCCGGGCGGCCCTTCCCGGCTCCACTAAGACCAGCCAAGCTCTAGGATCAGCTCTCAACTCAGGTAGGAAGCGACTCCACTCGTGGGCACCAACATCAATGATGACCTCAAAAGAAGGCGAAAAGTAAAAAGGAACAAAATTCAAGTAAAAAGAAAAATATTGAAAAAGCCTCACCTGGGAGATGTCCGCGCCGCTTAAGGCCCGCCAAAGGCGAGTTTGCCATAAGAGCACCGGTGCCATGCGCGGCGCCTCTGGCCTGGGCACTCGGAGCATGGTCCGAATGGAAAACACACAGAAGCACAAGCAGCACAGGGCGTGTTGTTTCGATCTAGCGACACCATCAGGTCCAAAACCGATGCCCTGTAGCTTTGCCCATCAGGTGCTACAGAACTGAGAGCATCGAAGACCTCATGTTCAATCACACAATACAACGCCGCGCTTAAAGTATATCAACGTGGGTCACTTCCCAGCTCATCAAGGCGATATGAGTTGTGACATGTTTTATCGAGCTAAAGATTAGATGATTAGAGTTTAAGAAGCAAATCCCTTGGCAACTCGAGTTCAAAAGCATCCTTTTGCAGAAAGCCGTGCTTGCTTGGAGGCTGCCCTTTTCCTGCCTCCGTTCCCTCGGCCAGGTCGAAGAAGAAGTCCGGCACAAAAACTGGATCCAGAAAAGCGTCGATGTCCCTGTGCTAAGCAAATGCAAAAGCCGACTGTGTGTAGAGTTCAAACTGCTTCGTTGAGAAGAGCCCGTCTGCAAGGAACTGATGATTTCCGAAACTTCCTACTCTGTGTGTCACATACACGAACTACATTCCCAACCTCAAGGGTAGCGGCTCGGAGGACACCAAGACTAGTTGGACAAGGCAAAAGCTGCATGTCCTGAAGGTCTACACGGATTGCATGCCAGGCCCAGGAATCAAACAAAATGGTGTTCAAACCAGAGCAGATATCAGCAACTCTGGCGTGGTGTCCCGATCCTCGCCATGCCATAAATCTCTAGACGTACTGTCGTCGTCGGCGCATGCAGCACCAGCTATGATGCCATGGCCAGCAACCGTCAAATCCTATCTGTGGCATACCTCCGCGAATCTTGCTGTTGACGGTGATTTTGTGCAGTTTTTCTGCTTTGTCTACCGCAGCTAGAATCAGCCACGCTTGGGTACTGGGCCAATTTGCTGCACATGGTTTGTTGGATTTTGGATGTCACTACCCGTCCTCCCAGAAGAATTTGCCCTCTCAACAAATTGCAAATCAATGTTGCAAAGGCGAGTGGGATAGAAGCATTCAGGTCTTGACTTTCTGTGCATCCGCTCCCTCCTCTGCAACCTCAAGGAACGATCTTCTCAAAAACAGGCCACGGCCAGTCACCCCAAGAGGATGTTCCTAGGAGATGGCCTGTGATTGAAGGTTGGTCAGCAGCTTCAGGGCTTGTTGGACCTTATAAAGCAGTTTCACAGAGAATGCCAGTCACAAGTTGACTCCTAGAAGGAGTCCTCACAAACAAGAACCAGCTGGTCCGTGGAAGGAAACAGTCAAATCGCCACGGAAGAGCAACGTGAAAGACAGGTTGAGTCTGACTTGTTTATCATGTTCCCACAAATGGCACGAAAATATATCATACATTTACATAGGGGCGCGACAGCTGGTGCTTCCAGCTCACCAGCATTTCCACACACCTCACGCAAATAGCATCTTCCATACTTCAGCTCGGTGGACGCTGTTCACCAAGGTCCCAACACAGATTGTCAGCAAAAGCCCCAGCGTCTTCATTGCATGGCCTGCTCTCTTCACGCTCGATTCTGCTCATGGCGTTTATGACTTCATCAAAGCTGAGCTTCTCACAGGGCTTCGCGCAGGCCAAAGTCGCCCGCGCGAAGGACTGGTCTTCAGCCAAACACAGCGGTTCAGCCGGATGAAAGTACAGAACATCATGCACTCACAGCTCCCCTTCTGCTCATGAAACCAAAAATTCAATCAATCCAAGCACTGGATACTTACTTTTGGGAAATCAGTCAACAGCAATCCATTCGAGTGGAATCCGGCGGCTACCGAACTTCTCTCTGTTCTCGCCCTCAGCAAACAAGCCACTAATGCACAATGTGCTTCTCGCACTGACAGTGACAAAACTGTGCTGAGAGCAGGGCGAAACAATGCGCTGATTCTGTCTTCGCCGGTCTGCCTGATTCTGTCTTCGACAGTACGGGCGCCGGCTAGTTGTGCTCTCTTTTCTCGTGCAGCCAAGCGGCGAGAAGCGAAACTTTGCACACGAGTTTTCTTCAGCTGAGGGGTGCGCTTGTGCAGGAAGTAAAGCAAGTCTTTGCAGGTCTCGCTGGCCCGCTGAAGTTCCTGAAGCAGTTCAGCCGGTGGCTGGTCATGCGGGTAGAGTGACTCGCACTTTTGCCAGTAAACGTCCATCTCCGCCATGCTCAACGCATGCACGCGCTGCAGCTCTGAGAAGGTTCGGGCCACTCCATCCATGGGGTCAATTCGCCTAACGAATCGCGGATCTGAAGCATCAGCGACACAACGTTTGCGCTCATCCTCTGCTATCTGGTGGCGCAGCATCGATCGTCTGTACTCACTGCAAGTTTGCTCAGGCCCTGCTGCGAAGAAAATGCGATCACCAGAATTGATCACCTCTTCATACGCCTCTTCCTGCGAATTTAGTACAGCAACTTGTTGCATCAAACGCTTGGACGCCACTTGCTCGGCACACTCCGAGATCTCTCCCAAGGACTTTCCAGATTCAAGGAGCTCCGCGGCTGATACCTCGAGCAGCTGTTTCACTATCTCCTGGATGTACCTTTGGGAAGGAGCCTCGCTCTCCCTAATCCATTCTGGCACAAGAAAGCCGACAGGAATTGGCAATAAGAGCTGCCACCAGGATTTCCCTGACATCTCCTCCTTTTTTGTGAGACCCATTTCTTGAAGGAAGGACTGTTTGAGGCCACCAAGGCACAGGTCATAGTCGGCGGTTGATAAGCCGAGCGTAAAATGTACGGAAACTTCAGTGCCCCCTGTGCCTTCAGTGCCTGTGGCATGAGGAAATCCCATCGGCACGAAAAGGACTTCACCCGGGTGTAGGACAACATCCAAGAGTGGCTCATGCAGCTCAGAATCCAGCAATCGGTCATCATTCTTTCCCCGAAACAGTGGATGGGAGTGGGGCATCCGAAGAGGTGGTGCAAAAATTCGCCAGTGCTTCGCACCTTGGCTTTGAAGGACGAGCACATCGTGGTTGTCTGTATGAACATCCGTCGACACCGACCGACCAGGCCCAGTGACATACACATTGATATTGCTGGGAAACTGGAAGGCACGGTTGGCTGCCAAGCACAGCTCAGCCGCAACTGTCCAATGAAGCGAAGCAGTGTTTAAGAAAATGGTGCCATATTGCAGCACGTCCAAGAGTTCTGCCATATGTCGAATTGGAGGCAAGCTGATTGGACACCGAAAGTCTGCCCCATCAGTGAGAGTGAGCGCGGACTCGCAGGGTTTTCGGACGGATGGTGCGCTCAATCCATGCAAGATATCATCCAAAGTAAGCAGATTCTTAACAAAATGGGTGGGTAGAACAAATGGGCCTCTCCTCTCCCCAGCCCACAGCATCTGAAACTCTGTGCTAGCGGCAAGGGATGTAAAGAATTCGCTGAGGCATCTCTGGCCCGGGTGCGAAGGAAGCTCATTTTGAACATCCGCGTAAAGTTGTTCAATGCTGCACCTCAAAGACTCATCTATCTTTCTGATGTCAAGATCTGTCCATGGAAACGGCCCCTTGTTTCTTACCAAGGGCCGGTGAGGGACCTTCAACAACTGGAGCCAATGAGGGGCAGGCTGGTTAGCCAGCTGATCAATAGGATACGACAATACCTCTTCGTTCCGCAACTTCCAGCAATCCTGACAGTAGAGCTCTTGAGAAAAAGAGGGCAAGTAGCCGGCACCGGCAGTGGACCACTTGCCACACTGCTTGCATTGCAGGTTTAATAGGTCCACCATGCAAAATTGCTCAAGGCACGATCAAGCCAACCTTATTTCATGCGATACTAGTATGAAGAATGAATAAACCAACAGCCTGGAGTTTGTAACCCTGTCATATGGAACCATGCCGGCAGCCTGGAGACTTGAACCGAACCTCTGCGGAGAATATCCCTCTTGCCGTGAACCCAAGGTTGTCACATCAAGCGGCATGAAACAACTCTCTGTTTTGAAGCACGGGTGAAGAACTTTTCTTCTCTTGCACAAGGTTTGAACTGCAAACAAGGCCATGGGACCATGTGGGGCCATGTGAGGTTGCACCAGGGACAGCACATGGAATACTTGAATTGAAGAGACCGCCGCGACATATCCCATCACGCTGCACAAGTCCAAATCCCAAGGGAAATAGTCCTCAACAACCGTCCGCACATAGCCTACGTCAAGCTGGCGTGCCCGAAGATTGTACTTCTTCTGGTTGGGTAGTGCCGACGATGATGCTGCACCGCGTTGACCTCATGTTCGCGCCTTCGCCGCCTCTTCGGGCCTTCGCTCAATCTAAAGGCTCATAGGATGCAGGTCTTTGGGGCTCCGTGGGCTCTGTGGCCCATGTGTTTTGGTCCTTGCTCGGACTAGCCGCAGCGCGTTGAAGCCAATGCATTTGCAGGGGTGTAGCATCCACAAAGGCCCATGCAATGCTTGTAAGGTCATTGGGATGAAGACCGCCCTCTGCTTGGACTTTGGCAACATTTGCCAAGGAGACCAGTAAGCGCTTCCAGTCAAAGCCATCAGTCTCTGAACCTCTGTACAGGGACAAGGCCCACAAAGTATTACTCAAATCCCTGGAGTTGAAAGCGGGAGCTGATGTATGCACCGCATCTAAGGAAGGCCTCAACATCTCTGAATCCCAGATAGCCAGAAAGGCAAAGCTCCACAGGATGTTGGCCAAACTTTGGGGAGACATCTCCTTCACCTTCTGCATAACTTCGCAGGAAAGCATCATCAGCAATGGGGCATCGCTCCGTGAGAGGATCGCCACAGACCATGCTAAGTTGCTCAAGTGCCGACCGCTGAATTGCTGAACCTGCTGAGATGCCCGGTGTGACAGCGACTCCCACACGATCTCGTCTGTGCTCCTAAGCACTGCCAAAGCCCAAACGGTATTGGCCGTGGCTTGCGCTCCAAAGTCAGTGTGGGCCGCCAAGATTGGGGCCTAAGGGCCACGGTTCTCTATCAAATCACGTGGGTGGCCATGAAATGCGGATCCTTTCGCTAATATTTTTCCGTGAGCTCAGGGTACAGCCCATGGCGGTGGTGTTCAAGCAAAACCTAATCTACTTTGCAGTCTCAGTCTCACCTTTCATTTTCAAGTTTTGGTTGACTCTGTAAGTGTGGCGTTGGTGGTTCAGCAAACAAGGGTCGGCACAATCGTTTGAAGTATGATTTAAAAAAATAGAAAAACATTCCTACCTACAAATGTTCCAGGGCGAACGGGGTACTCAAAACAAAAGTGCACACAAAGCACTCGATCTCTTTTTGCTAAGGGCGGAATGGGGGCGGAAATGCAACAACATGCATGTTGTTGGGAGAAATCTCACACGTTTAAATTGAGCTTGGCCAAGTACCGTCCATGAGTCTTAAAGATTGTGTCTCTCACGTCAGGTCTCAAAGTTCGCCTGCAATTCTCGCAGTCCACGCTGTCGCAAGGTGTTTGAAGCGCGTAGAGGCCGTAGCTTTGCTAAGCGGTGGGCCGCTGTGGCCACACTGATCGGACTGAGCTCGTGGTGTTTCAGTGCCAGGTAAATGCCTTCGGCATCGCCACGCGCAGCCGCTGACAAAATGCTTTGCTGAGTCGATTTGGTACGGACAAAGCACCTAGGTCTCCTTGGCAGCGCACACAAGGAGTGACTGAGGGCCATTCCTATGCCACTTGCGAGCCAAAATGCGTTCAAATGGGCAAAGCTCGACCGACTGTGAGTCAACTGCACAATGCTTGAACCTGCAAGGCGTCCACTCCCTAGGCAAACCTGCGCCAACCGAACAGCATTCGGCTGTTTCTCACGGGGTGATTAAGTCCAAGAATCCAAGAATTATGGGGTCGGTGGGAGTTGTCTTGTTTCTTGTGCAAAGGGGTAATTGGAGTCATGCTCCGAGGCGAGCCTAGCAGAATTCGGAGCAAAGAAGAGCGCCAAACTACAACCTTAATCCAGTTGATTTTGAGACATTGGGTCCTTAGAAGGAGACTGTGAAAAGACTCTTGGGAAGTTCAACTTGGTACTGGCTGGCCAGAATTCCATGCTCTTCTGCCTAAGGTTACATCTAGATTTGGATATCAGCCACTTAGGATTGGGGTATATAGGTAGCATGACTGGGCGAAGAAATCACACATCCGTGGCCCAGCTAAAAGGCTGCACGGACCTTTTTCATACAAACATCAAGAGCGTGGTTCCAGCTGAAACTCCACTCGCAGTGCTACAAGATCAAACAAACACAAGGGTGTTGGAGAGTGTAGGAGTCCAGAACGTGCACTTGTGAAATCTTGTAAATCTCTCAATTTCCCCTGCATGACGTTGCATCATCTTCAATTCACATCGGTGGCGCAGGCTCAGTGGGGCTCAATGAATCTTTTGGTCAAATGCTTGAGCTTGACTCAGTTGCAGTTTCAGATCTGGGATTTCTCGTTGCACAATGTTGCTAGTGGTCTTCCAGCCGAGTCTTGTTGATCATGAATCATGCAACTGCCACGGTGCCCTGGCGAGCTCGCCTCATGATGATCATGATGTCGTCCTTGGAGCCCAGCTTGCTGAGCTCTGCTTCCATGGCAGGGAGTTGAGCGGACATATTCACTTGCACAATCTGATCCCCACAGCAAACCTGCGAATCGGGATGGGACACATTCCATTCTGAAAGGAGACCTTCTTTCAAGTGTAGAACCTGAAGTTCTGGGCTAAGTTGGCAGCCCAGTTTGCCCCTTGGCTTCTCCAGCTTGACCCCATAGGTTTCCGAAGAAAAACTTCTCGCCAAAACCAACTGTATGATCTCAGTTGCATCACATATTCGTTCGAACAGTTGATTCCTGGATCCATTGGCTTCAATGATCAAGTCGTCCACAAGAATGGCAGACCTTGGATTCTGCAAATTCCACGACGTGATGCTGCCCTTCTCCTGGATCGACTTGATTTTCAAGGACTGTTGGTCAATCTCCGCGGCCAGCGATGCAGCTTCCAACGTGGCGGTGAAGACTTGGTCATGCGCCTCGGGCCGGTTTTCTCGCTCCAATCCGAGCCTCATACATACATACATACATACATACATACATACATACATACATACAT